CTTAGAAACGTAATATTAACGTTTAATATATACTGCTAATTGCTTTAAGCTGTCGACATGTACGCAATGATTAGGAATGTGTAATTTGACATTAGGTCAGATTATTATAAACAATAGGTTCTAACACTGTGTTAAATTTGACGTGTGTAAAAGTCACGTTATGCGTTAATATATAGGATAAAGTTAACTGTATGTGTATAGACTAATGTTCCTGTGGATGAAAGTGCACTCATGCACTTGGGACATGGTTAAACTGGCCATATTTGATTGACATTCTCGATAGTGTTATGTCATACTAATGTTTGAATAAGGTAAGGATCCGGTTTGTTTTAGACATTCAGTGGTGTACGATAACATTATATTTGTTTGGTTGACATGTAAAAAAACGAAATAGTAGTCAAAACAGAAATTAGAATTGTATAGTGATTAGGTCGAAAGGTCACATTACTGACGGTGAAATGTAAAATAACAATGTAGGAATTCTAAAACAGAAACGGAAATTATAAAACATAAACGTAATTATAAAATTTTCCATTACTTATCGAGTTAGGTCATGAGGTCAAAGTTAGTTTGAAATTTATAATTAAAGGGACACATCAAAGTTTATTAATAATTAAATAAAGTTTAATTTTAATTAAAAGTAAGATTTACTAATAATTTTTCGAAATAATAATGTTAGACTAATAAATAGCAAAATAAAGTTTTAATAATTTAGGAATAGTTAGTTCTTGGTCTGATGGCAATTTGTGTTTTTTGTTTTTAGGCTTAGTGAATTTTCATAGGATTTTACAGTGATGAACTTTTTGGAGAACTTTTGCATGCAACTTTTGACTTTTGATTTTTGATTGTTTGTGTTTTTCTTTCATAGCTTGGTTTTATAGTATAGTAATCATTTATATTTGCCTGATGCGTGAATAATTAGTTAGAATATCTATATTTTATATATATTCTTAAAGGGGGGAGAATTGTAGCACTATCGTCGTTGCGACATTGTTTTTAAATTTATAGACAAGGAATAGAGAAATAAGATGCCTTTATATTTCATTAATTAATATCTTTGGCAAGTTAGTAATTTCAAACATATTCACATATATAGTGTGCAATAAATCAACTTAGTCTGTAATTGACATATTGTTACATAAAAAGAGCTCTTAAACCAAAACAGGTGTCACAATTTACCACCAGAATTACACGTGAGTGGAATTATTCTAATTGCATCACATCGTTAATTGCACAGGTTCAGGGCCATGAACAGGCTTCCTGTGCATGATAAACGTGGTTGCTATATAAGATATCTATTTGAACCTTTCAAGACAGGCTTCTATTAGGTTCCAGAGAGCTTACATCTGAGTTCCTAGACAGCCGCGAGAAATGGTTTTAGCTAGTATTGTTATCTATTATGCTTGTATACCTGTGTTCAGCTATATATATATATATATATATATATATATATATATATATATATATATATATATATAATATGTAGAAGCAAACTGTCGCATTGTTATTCCTGGTAAGACAAACGTCTTAAGAAACTGTAAGAAGTAAATACACAACGTGAAGCAGAAGTAAAGACAGCTAGAGACAAATTCTAGACGATCACAAGGCTACAGAAATATGTAGTAAGAATGGATGCATGGGTTCTACGTAGGATGTGGCGACCGGTTTTAGTACTGTGTCCGCTCTCCACGTCAGACAGAAGGACCTATGGTGCTACATGTTATTGTCTCTTTAAAATATAGCCTAACATTCTAAGGGGCCTCTAAACATTGATGGCCATGGTGCACCTGACAATCCCAAACTGATTCACCTGGTTAGAAACACTTTATACATTTTATACAATTTATACTTCAACGTGTAAGTGTAGGCTCACTAACCAGGAGATCCCAGTTTTACTCCTGGTGTTGTTCGAAAACGTTTCAGTGGTGCAGAAAGGAGGGCCTTACAAAGAACAACCTCTAGTCGTCCAGATGGGATACCAAAAAAAACCCCAACCCATGCCCCGTGTATACTTTCGTATTCGTAATAAGAGTAGGCCAATGAGCCGTTAGATGGCATATATCCACCCTCATTAGTCCGATAAGGGCAGAAAAATAAGACATTAAACCTCATATTATTCCCTTAGTATTGTCTTTGCCCGTGTCAGCCAGCGTGTCCGTCCGTACATACTTGTTCATATTCTAAAGGATATAAGTTCTTATTCAAAGTTCAAAATCTAAGTCATGGTTGTGTTAAAGATGGTAGCAATCGATTTTGAGAGAAGTCTCAAAATTGGTACCAAATGGCTCTTTACATATTATGTATTTAACATGTTCAGTTTAATTCCTAAATTTCTATCTGGATTAACGCCCTTGTCATTGACAAAATAGTTTTTGACCTTCTTACGTCAACTGACAGACTATCACCACCAGGAAAAGGCATTCAACGGACGACCATCATCAAGACTTGTCACATTTGTACGATAGGCCAGGAATAGATAAGAAACCTCATCTTTCAACACTTCCGTGTTTCGAGATAAGAGATGGTGCTATATAGTTTTACCTGACAAACTCCAACGTGAAATACATAGGGTTCATTAAGCGCAATTGACAACATTTTTCATGAAAACAATGATTGGGTATTATTATTTACAACATTTCCACCACATCCAACTACAATTAAGCATATAATCCTACCTGAAATGGTTCAGATCATTGTATTTTAAATCGAGGCACTGTAACCCGTTTCTGGGAAGCCACTTTACAACGCTGTTTGTTATTAAAAAAAGGCCATTCGGCACACTTCAGTTAACCCGGTTCCCTACAACCCTGCAATGAAAGCTCTACACACTCTTCGAACTGCGACATAAGTAAACCGATAGCCGCATCACAATTGTATGGGTGTAGCTACATATCACCATGGACCGTATTTACAGCCATACAGCCCAGGTTAAATGTAGGGTACAAGATGCGGTCCAGATGTCGAGGTTTTCCGAATGATAAGAAGCGTGTACTGTAGACTTCGATGGCGTTTTCAAGTCGGACTATTAATTAATTCAAACGCGACTATTTGGAATAAGGCGAGGGCTGTGTCACTTCATTGACCTCTGTAAGTTTAATTAGTCATAATAGTATAAAATTATTTTATTTTTAAGATGTTACATGTATTAATAAAAAGAATGAATTTGCCAGATGTAACTAAAGGCACTCAATCGTAGCTAAAAACAAACACAACTGTATATCTCAACGTTTTTAGCTACGTTCTCGTAGCTAGGTCAGGTTAGGCTCGTGTATTTAGTGCGGCTAGCCTCTAAGTGTGATATACTGCGCATCATAAATGTCGAAGAAACCATTGAAAAATTCGCCGTAGACAAGACGAGCGCTCCTCCAGTGAACGCCATAAAATTCATATAGACGACTAACAGACATATTGGGTTTTGGCTTAGATTGACGTGCGTAATTTTAGTTAACTGTATGACTTTTCCGTGCATACATCACATCATGAGCACATTAAATAGTCTGATTTCTTGATTGCATTTCTATTATAGCATGGTTCTTAAAGTGTTCAACGTTCGTCAAAAATCGACTCCGGTCGGTTACTATGTCGTAACGTTACGGCTGTCGCTGATATGACTTTCCGTATCACTGGGTTTGATGTAGTTCCATTCATATGTGTGGAATAAGACTGCCTAAGTTCTGGTCACTTGCGTTAGGATGGGGGCCATCACGTTCTCAAGGCTCCAGGGCCCCCACCATGGTTAATCCGGTGCTGGACTGAGGGTAAATATATAACAGAATATTTATCATTACGAATAAAGAGGGTTGGAAGCGGTGGTATCAATAATGTTTTATGTTCACCACAGTTAAAGGTATATATTATGTAAGGGCCAAAGCTGCCTAATGTCGATCTTTCGTTTGGTCTCAAATGTTATATAAATCATTAATAGCACATTTATTTACGTGCCAGGCCCATAATCAACTCTCTAGAACTTCGGATGGTTTTGATTTTCAATAGATTTGAATATGATTGGCAGTTAATGATTTAATTTAAAAATGGACAATCGAGAATTTGTTTATTATGGTAAAAGCGGTCGCAATGACAATAGAGACTACACTGTCTTTGTCGAAATTTACATAATGCATCTTTAACTAATCCCAAACGCACTATAAATTAGGCTGAAACCCTATATTATACATGTACATGGTTCTTCGTGTACTACAACATCGCCGTGCTGCGGTTTAAAAAATATCAATATTTATATACAGTACGACCCTAAATGTTACTGGACTTTAGCTACTCCCGCATGCGAGTTTAAACAGTTTTAGTATTTTAATAACGCATGCCTTTAGATACTGCTACATACAGTCTTAAATTCCACAGAACCTTAGCTACTGATGGATGCGACTCTAAATGTTACAGAACCTTAGCTACTGCAGCTTACGACCCGAAATATGCGGACTCTTAATTAGCTACTGCTGCATACAACTCTAAATATACAGGATCTTAGCCACTGCTGCATACGACCTGAAATATGCAGGAACTTAGCTACTGCTGCATACGACACTAAATGTTATGGGACTTAAGCTACTGCTGGATAAAACCCCAAATGTTACAGGACTTTAGCTACTGCTGGATAAGACCATAACTGTTACACGTCTTTAGCTACCGCTGGATAATACCACACGTGTTGCTGCTGCTGCATACGACTCTAAATAACAGCTACTTCTAGTATAAATATTAAATACTTGAAATTCCAAGTCTCTTGTCGTGGTCGGAAGGTCTAACGTTTGTGCATTCTTAGATCATAAGGTCTGTCACTCAGCTAAGTTGCGTGGTTTCGATACCAAGCTTGACAGGGAGTATAGGGTCGCCTGCGCATCCTCGTGGCTTTTTCCCGGGTTTTCTAGTTTCCTTCCACTGCTAAAGGTCCCTGCGACAAAGTAATAAAATTTCAAAACTACAACCCCCCCCCCCAACACAACAAAGAACACAATTTAATAATTTATTTTTTTTATTGGGGAAAGTATTCTGTATTCCTTAATTTGGAGTCATCGGTATGATAAACATCGAGTCAATTTCCATTTTAGCTGAGTGTACACCGTACTGATTCGTTTAATTACAACCAGGGATGTTAGTTGATAGATCACAGTACTGACGAGTGGGGTTAAAAACAGTACCAGGCGCACATGGCATGGTGTAATATCTGCCACCAGCACACACTCTGTAGTTATGACAATTGTCTGGATCAGCAACCCGACCAAGGGATTCGTCACAGGTTGTGGATACAGGTGCATGAGTCGGGGCTGCAGCTGCTGCTACTACAGGTACATTAATACAAACGGTATCATCTTGGCTCCACATGGTTCCTGCTGCACAATCTCTGAGTCTAGCTACGCCATGGTCACACTGGTAGTATCTGTAGTCATTACCATTATGAGCTATGTATGTATTCTGACCTGTCGGGCATTTAACTGTAAAAAACATTAACACAGTTTAACATGACAACATAGTGACTTTAAGAATGCTTTAAACCAGATGTTAAATGTAAATAATATCGGTTTAAATAAACTCAGTGTGGATTAGTTTCTTTTGTCACCCATACCCTTTCTAAATGAAAATATTCTTGGGTCTGATTCTTCTCGTTTTAATTTATTAAAGGGCAATTGGCTGGTTATTTAAACGTATGTTAATCAATCTATATTTGACACGGAAAATACAACCCAGCAATATGTGGCCAGCGGCTACGTTTCAAAGAAAGGATATTCTAAGACTTACACTGACGACATTCCCCAAAATAAAATGAAATAAAATGGAGTTTAACGTCCGACTGCTCTGTGCCATCTGCGCTAATGCAGACGATCTACAAAAATGATCACACCCCTTAATTACAAAGGATATATATATATTTCTGATCCACGGAGCTGTTGTACACATTTATTAAAACAATTTGAATGGACCTCCTTCCCAAATATCCAAAAGTACCAAAGACGTTAAATTGTCGTTACTGTGTAAATACTGATCGGAATTGCATCATTTATTGATATTAAACGGTATTAAATCATGTCTCTTTTAGAAATCCAACTTTAACAATATTGTAGTTTATAAGGGATTAAGTAAAAAACAAATAACGATCAGAGACTTTAAAGTTACAATTTCATATTTTCTAAGAAAGTCAAAACATAATTATTTCTATGTCTTTTACTCAATAGGTTGTCAACTCACTATTATACGATCATGGGTTATCTTTCTCACACTTAAAAATCTTCAAACCGGAAATAATAACACAATTACCCCAATTACCTCCCTTGTTTTCCTATTCCCCACCATGGAATAGCAATCCTCAAACGTTTGAATTTGAAGTTGAAAATGATATTTCTGCCATTTTCTCAACTGGCTATAGTGAATTATAGGATTAATAGGATTAATAGGATTATTCTTTAACCAGGTAGGACTGTTTATAGATACCATCTATTTTAGGGCTTTATTTTAATACATTTTAAAAATATGAAATTGTTACTTTAATAATGCATTATTCAAGAGCTAAATGCACGAATTGCAGATTTGTTGTTTAATTATAATAATAATTATAATCGCTCTCCCGCCAAATTTTGAATCAAATCGGATAAATAGTATGGTGCAATAGGATCGTTTAAACAATTGGAAGTGATTGTGTTTATTTTGAAAATGATGCGTTGATTAATCGGTAGCCAATGTAACTGTTTTAGAACAGGTGTAATATGGTCAGATGGTTTGGTGAGAGATACAATTCTGGATTTTCTGTAGCTGACTTACAAGAGTTTTAAGAAGAGAATGCAATAATGAATTACAATAATCTAAAGATGACATAACAAAAACATTTATTAACATTTGAGTGGCATCAGGGTCAATATAGTGTCGAATAATTTTGCCAATGTTATACCGATACATAGGTTTTCATATCAAAGGAAGTGTCAAAGAATATACCAAGATCCCTGACACATCTGGATGGGGTTATGACAGTACTTCCAATAGTCAAATGGATGTCAATGTTCTTTTTATTAACTATTATTACATTTTCTATGATTTCATCTTTCAATTTCAAAAAGTTGCAAAGAGAAATGAAATGGGGTTTAACATTCCACTGTTCCCCTCCGAACTGGGCTAATGAAGATGGGCATACGCCAGACAGTGTGCTATGAGGGAAAGTTTGCCCGGACAGCGGTACTACGGCCTACTCTTATATCGAATTCAGACTGTCAAGGGATCTTATACGTGCACGCCTTTGTGTAGACGGGACCTCGGTTTTTCGTCCCATCCGAACTACTAGATTGGTTTTTCTCCATTTTTCTGGGCTTTCCCGCGTTTATTCTTATGGTCACGTATTTCGCCAGTGCAATATTGTTTATTAGGCCGAATAATGGATTTCTTTTGTTTTCAGTGGAACATGTTTTTCCAGTATCTCAGAAAGAATGTCATTGTAAAAATCCACTTGTTGGTGGGTATCCGACTTGGTGGCAATGGTACTCCAAAGTAATGAATTGTTAATATCGCTTCTAAATTTATCAATATATAGGAGTGTTTTTTTTTTTGTTTTTCTGAAACTTATTGTCCTCTTTATTGCTTCAGGGGTAGGAAACGAAAGATCACAGAATAAACTGTAGCGATCAGATATCTGATGATCAACAACGTCACGTGGTTGAATAATGGAATCATGTTCTCTCGTTATCACAAGATCAAGAATGTGTTTATGTCTATGGGTTGGCACATCCACATCTGTTTTAAACTAAATGAGTCTAACAATAGTAAAAATTTCTTTATGCTCGAATCATTGGCTTTATCAACATGAAGATTGAAATGTCCAAGAAGTAGTAAATGTCCAGGTCTCAAATGTTATATAAATCAGACATTTATTTACATGCCAGGCCCATAACCAACTATCTAGAATTTCGGATGGTTTTCATTTTCAACAGATTTTAATATGATTGATAGTTAATGATTTAATTCTAAATGGGTAATCGAGACTTTGTTTATTATCGTAACAACTGTATCAATAGCAACCGAGACTTTACTGTTCTGCAAACGATGATAACTCCGATACGAATAAAGTGATTTGACTGAAATTTTCAACATATTCCCTTTTCATTACCTATTTGTAACTATTATAGCGATAACTGTCAGCTCTCTATCTAATTCTTATATAATGCACCACGCAACAAATAACTTTTATATATGAAAATATACCACACTAACAGATCAAAGACGTCATTTTATATACATAATGTTTATTATTTACTTAAAATTGTTAGTAATCAATCATAAGTCATTAAGTATGTGTTATGTCACTAAGGTGTTAAAACTGTGACTATTTAATGATACACGCCACTATTGTTCAGGTTTGTGTCTTCAATAGTACATCTTTTAACAGTTAGTTAGTTACACACATACTAATTACTGACTACTGTATATTTCCTAACCCCTTTGGCTTCATACTAAACGTCAGTTTAGAATAATGATCTTTTGTATGATCTAAGGACAAAAATTGTCATTACTAATACTAGAAGGACCAGGTTCATAAATCAATGGTATTAGCTTACAGTGTTAAGCATGAATATTGAAGCTACTTACCACCACAAATTTCGGTATTACATGTCACGTTTCGTACTTGGCTTAGTTCACCATCACAGTCATCACCCCCATAAGCTGGTGTTGGATTTGTGCAGGTTCGGTCACGTTGTTCTTCCTTGATACCACCACCACAAAGGGAGTCACATTCGTTGATCTCTTCCCATTCTGTGAAATCTGTCCAACCACCATTAACTGAGACAAAAATTAAAACCCTTTGCAAAAGTTCCTAATGTTCAATATCAACCGGTACTTTTGTCCAATTCTACGGTCTACTCTGTTTTCCAGTTCAAACGATCAGGGGTTCTTTTAAGTGCCGGCCAACGTGTACACTGGACCTCGGCGTTTCGTCGTTTAAGGCTACAAGCTATTCCTTACTAGATCCCGAGGAACCTTCCCACGGGATCGCATCTGGGACCCAATGGTTAGCGACATCTCGCCCTTTTTTCTTCTTTTCCTTTATAAAAATTGATATACATATACTATTCAAAAAAAGTAGGGGATATTTGATTTTTAAGTGTTATTAAAGTCACCTAATGAAACTGACGAAGAAACAAATGACAGAATGAAATGAAGTTCACATTCATCGATTTATTCCAAATGATCGTTAGACTAAGTAAGGCACAGACTGACCATTATAAGGGTAAAATGATACCCGGGGTCAAACAGCAAAGTTACCACAGCATCACAACCAAGTCAGTAACGGGTAAATCCTCCTCTGTTTGCCAAACAAGCATTGATCCGACGTGTCATACTCCTAATGAGACGTCTAAGGTCATTTTGGTCCAGATTGTCCCATTCCTGTTGCAACGCAGCAGCAAGTTCTTGGACATTGGCAGGACGTTGTTGACGTTGACGTAACCTCTGTCCAAGCATGTCCCAGACATGCTCGATGGGGGAGAGGTCGGGACTCAGTGCTGGCCAAGGTAATGTGGTGATGTTCTGTTGTTGGAGGTAACCTGTAACGATCCTGGCCCTGTGACATCTTGCGTTGTCATCCTGGAAGATGAAACGGCGGCCATGACGTCGTGCGAACGGCACAACATGGACTGCCAAGATGTTGTCCCGGTAGTACTGGCCTGTAACACGCCCTGCAACAACATGTAAAGCCGTTCTTCCAGCAACAGTGATGCCTCACCACACCATAACAGAATCACCCCCAAATCGATCATGTCTGATGACGTTAACGTCTTGGAAGCGCTCGTTTCGACGACGCCACACCATCCTACGTCTGTCCAAAAAATCAACAGTGAACCTTGACTCATCTGAAAACATCACATTGCTCCAGCGTCGATTATCCCAGTGTTGACGATCCCTACACCAACGACGTCTTGCCTGAATGTGATGATCTCTCAAACAAGGGATCACGCGAGGACGTCGGGCGCGAAGGTGACCCCTATGCAGTCGATTCCGAATCGTCTGGCCACTCACTCTCACACCAGTGTCTGTTTGAAGACGAGCGCTGATCTGATTTGCTGTGATGACACGATTTCTCAAGGCCAAGGTACGGATAAATCGATCCTGGGCTTGAGTTGTCGCCCTTGGTCGACCTGAGCGTGGTCTGTCGCGTACAGATTGTGTATCACGGTATCTGGACCATAGCCTGCTTATGACAGACTGAGAAACATTCATCGTCCGCGCCACAACCGCCTGTGTTGTGCCGATCTGTAGCATGCCAAGGGCACGTAATCTTTCATTTTGGGTAAGCCGACGCATATCAAAATTTGTTTTCTGGTCACTAAAACAATTAAACTGATGTTTCCTCCCTGGAATTCAATGCCACAATGACTGTAACATTCAAAGTCAGAGTCGTGCAAATCTTGGGTTGGACCCCCATGATGATCCCAAGCATCACCTGCATTCCATGCGGTAGCTATTGGTGCGTTTGGGCGTCACATGTAACTGGAAATGTTTCTTCTGTTAGGTTCTATAGTGACTTTTTTCGTAGTCATTTGCATATTTTAGTATTATGCCCCCAAAATCAAATATCCCCTACTTTTTTTGAATAGTATACATTACTTGACAAATATATCATGCGTAATTGATGGCATGGGATTGAACTTAACAGTGCCATAATACTTCGAACATATGTCTATATGTATGCTCCATTCTAATCACATATAAATTTACCTGGGCATGGATTTTCATTGCAGGTTTCGGTATCAGTACTTTCAGTATCACCAACACAACTATTGCCACCATACATAGGAGATGGATCCGTACATGATCTGGTAAAGGTCAGAATCTTTTCACCTCCTCCGCATGTTGTTGAACAATCACCAGTAGTAGATAATGTATACTCAGTCCATCCTCCATGAACTGTTAAGAGAGTACGGAAGCATTCTTTAATTTACTTAACAGATAAGTTAAGCTATAAAAGTTTTCCACAAAACATAGCCCAACAAACAAGGTTGCTAGGAGTCTAATAGCAAAATCTTCCACGAAGGACTGGAAATGGAGGGTGCATCATTTAAAGCGAACGATAACCGATCTGGTAATGGTTCAAATCTTTTCGCCAGCTCCACATGTTGAACAGCCGATAATACAAACTCGGACTACCCTCCATAAACTTTAAATGTGGCCAGGAACATTCTTTTAGTGGAACTATAAATAAGTGCAATAAAACATAGCCAAAACAAACAACAAACAACAGCCATTATTTCTTACATGTGTTTACAAACAGTCTAGCCCACCCGTCATTGACTTTAATCTAACGCTAACCTATCTGGTACAGTTTAAAATCTCAAACCAACGACATTCTAATAACAAAGTCTTCCACAAATAGCATAAAAGGTAAGGGTGCATCATTTAAACCGAAAGCTAATCGTAAACAATAACACAATCTTACTTGGGCATTTGTGGGTGTTACATTCTTCGCTCGTATCTTTAATATTGACACCGTCACAATCGACACCGCCATATTGTGGTCTCGGATTTGTACATGTTCTGACGTATGATAGAATTTTGGTGCCTCCTCCACAACTTACACTGCAATCACCTGTATTATCTAATGCATAATCAGTCCAGCCTCCATTGACTACAAAACAGCAAAAATCAAGATGGGTATTCGATGTTTTCTAAGCATCGAAATGTGAAAATATTAAGTATGATCTACCTTGACCCCTCCTTTGGTGTATCGACCTATAAAACATTAAATCCGTTTACATTTAAGCGATTACAATAGTTACAGATCTAGGTAATCGCTGTAACGCTACCCTTTGAGGGCATGGATTTTATTTGCGACAGTATGCCTTGTTACATAATGTAATACAATCACAAATATATAGATAATAAATTCAAGCTGATCACTCACTTGGACAATTATGAGTGTTGCATTCTTCCCGTGTTTCTTTAGTATTTGCACTGCCACAATCGTCACCACCATATTGTGGTCTGGGATTTGTACATGTTCTGGAGTAGGACAGAGTCTTGGTACCTCCTCCACAAGTTACACTACATTCACCTGTAGTATCTAATGTATAGTCGGTCCAACCTCCATTGACTACAAAAACAATGAAATCAAAATCAAGATTGGAAGATGATATCTTGTTTAATTAGAGATGGGTATGGACCTATATAAAAGTAAACTCATTTACTTTTAGGTGGACAGCAAGCCTGTTTTGTATGAGGGCGCAAGGATTCGACACACAACTATGCTGAGGATAAACACCTTACTGTGCGGTTACAATAGTTACAGATATAGCTAATCGCTGTAACGCTATTCTTTGAGGGTTCTTACCTGGGCATGGCCTCGGCACATAATGTGAAAAGAATGTTATTCAGAAATACATAAATAATAAATTTAAGCTGATCACTCACTTGGGCAATGCTGAGTGTTGCAGTCCTCCTGTGTATCTTTAGTACTTGCGCCGCCACAACTGTCACCGCCATATTGTGGTCTGGGATTTGTACATGTTCTGGAGTAGGACAGAGTCTTGGTACCTCCTCCACAAGTTACACTACATTCACCTGTAGTATCTAATGTATAGTCGGTCCAACCTCCATTGACTACAAAAACAGCAAAATCAAAATCAAGATTGGAAGATGATATCTTGTTTAATTAGAGATGGTTATGGACCTATATACACAGTAAACTCATTTACATTTAGGTGAACAGCAAGGCTGTTTTGTATGAGGCGCAAGGATTCGACACACAACTGTGCTGAGGATGAACACCTTACTGTGCGGTTACAATAGTTACAGATATAGCTAATCACTGTAACCCTACTCTTTGAGGGTACTTACCTGGGCATGCCCTGGCACATAATGTGAAAAGAATATTATTCAGAAATACATAAATAATAAATTTAAGCTGATCACTCACTTGGGCAATGCTGAGTGTTGCAGGCCTCCCGTGTATCTTTAGTACTTGCGCCGTCACAACTGTCACCGCCATATTGTGGTCTGGGATTTGTACATGTTCTGGAGTAGGACAGAGTCTTGGTACCTCCTCCACAAGTTACACTACATTCACCTGTAGTATCTAATGTATAGTCGGTCCAACCTCCATTGACTACAAAAACAATGAAATCAAAATCAAGATTGGAAGATGATATCTTGTTTAATTAGAGATGGGTATGGACCTATATAAAAGTAAACTCATTTACATTTAGGTGGACAGCAAGGCTGTTTTGTATGAGGGCGCAAGGATTCGACACACAACTATGCTGAGGATGAACACCTTACTGTGCGGTTACAATAGTTACAGATATAGCTAATCGCTGTAACGCTATTCTTTAAGGGTTCTTACCTGGGCATGGCCTCGGCACATAATGTGAAAAGAATGTTATTCAGAAATACATAAATAATAAATTTAAGCTAATCACTCACTTGGGCAATGCTGAGTGTTGCAGTCCTCCTGTGTATCTTTAGTACTTGCGCCGCCACAACTGTCACCGCCATATTGTGGTCTGGGGTTTGAACATGTTCTGGAGTAGGACAAAGTCTTGGTACCTCCTCCACAAGTTACACTACATTCACCTGTAGTATCTAATGTATAATCGGTCCAACCTCCGTTGACTGCAAAACAAAACAAAATAAAGGGAAATTATGATCTGAGGTTTGAACATATTCTAGAGTAGGACAGAGTCTTGGTACCTCCTCCTCCACAGTGGTCGTGGGGCCTCCTCCACAAGACACACGACATTCACCTGTAGTATCTAATGTATAATAGGTCCAACGCAACAGGAACTACATAAACAAAATGAAATAAATAGAAATGGAGTTTAACGTCCTACTTTTCTGCATCAGATGGGGTAATGAAGTCTGGCAGATGCAATGCAGTGTGCTATGGTGGACATTTTTCGCGGACAGCTCCAGGAATCCAACAGGTAAAGTTCTGGTCTTTCGATTTTTTTTGTCACATCGACGACTAGACGACGTTCATTGTCAGACCATCTGACCTACACGGTTAGTGAGCCAGCGCCTTACTCAATCTGGTAGCCACTACAAGACGAGTATAGGTTTATATAGGTTATATAAAAATCGTATGTATTTGCATATTATATAAATAAACATGAGGTTACAAAAAGATCAGATGTATATGCATAAAGATCTATGAAGTTGTAAAATGATCATATAAAGTTGTAAAATGATCAGATCATATGAAGTTGTAAAATGATTAAAATCATCATATGAAGTTGTAAAATGACCATATGAAGTTGCATAAACATCAATTAAATAAAACAGCTTATTAATTAGAACACTGTAAATTGACTAATGAACAAACAACAATTATGAGTGAAAATGTATTTTGCACAAATAGACCAACATCGCCATTTTATATACATAATGTATTCTAGTTAGTTAAAACAGTTAGTAATCATTAGCCAGGTTCGTATATTCATTATTGATGGATAATAGAAATAGTCACGTTTCTAGACAAGTTGTAACATCTTTTGCAGCTTGTTACACACCTGCTAATTAATGACTACAATGTAAGTTCTAACCGCATTCTGTATATACTAAACATTGGGTTAAATTAACAAATTAGTAAATTGCCTAGGTTCATTAGTCAATGATGTCAGGTTAATAATGATACGGTGTGTCCGAAAGAGTAAGGGTAATGGCGGTGTATGGCATCCGTGTATATTAAAGTCTATATGAGTTGCAGCACAACGTCAAACCCCATTTCATTTCATTCATATCACTAATTAATGAGAGGTAACATGAACCAAGGGATTTTCACAAATGTCACCGGGCAACATCAAATATGTTATTTGAAGATACCGGGCAACATCAAATATGTTATTTGAAGATACTGGTACTTACTTGGGCAATGTTGTGCATTGCAAGCTATTGACTGGGTTTTAGTAGTTGCACCAACACAACTTCGTCCACCATATCTTGGTGTTGGATTAGAACAGGATCTTGTGTAGGTGAGTTGTTTTACTCCACCACCACAAGTCTTACTACAAGCTCTTGTATTAGTCAATCTGTAGCTACTGAAACCGCCATGAACTGAAAAACAACATGCAGAAATTAACATCGTTACAGGACACTCCACGAGCATGATGCTGACTGAGAAAGTTTTTTTTCGCCGAGTTTCTGTCCTGGGTTAATGACTACGTTTCCGGGTTTCGTTGAAGTTAATGCAATGCGAGTTTACCGATACGCAAGGGAAGTGTATCACGTTTATCAAATGATGATTGTAAATCACAGAACACTGTATGACGTATGCCTTACTTCATTAGCCCTGTTTGTTCAGAAAAGTAGGATGTAAGAGCCCATCTCATATTTGTCATTCCGAATGTAATAACACGAGATCACAACGATACCAAGCAAGAATAATGTTACACGATCGCGCAATTGCATCACAAATCGTCAGTCCTGTAAAACATGAAAAACTGAATTCGACAACATGGGAATGTTTAAAACAGCAACCAAGATTATAAAATGTGAATTCTGTCGAAATGCCACAATATGTCATGGCTTACATTTGAACATGATTGCGTGAGTAACATAGCAACGTCTGTGGTATTACGTCTCATCAACACTTATTGCATCTAAGTATACAAATGTATATCATATTCGTTTAAATTATTAAAGAATTCTTCAGACTTACTAGGACATGCTGCGGTATTACAAGAGACTCGTTCACTCCGGGTGGTGCTTCCGGTACAGGCCCTTCCTCCATATCTTGGTGCAGGGTTGCTACATGAACGGGTGTAAGTCCGGACCAGAGTACCGCCTCCACAGGACTTGCTACAAGAAGAATCTCTGGGTGTACTCCAAGAAGACCAAGCTCCGTGGACTTTTTTCCAATAAAAAAATATATACAAGTTATAACAACAGCCAACCAAAATCCCCCCATAAAAAACGATGTAAATGATGTTTGCGAAAGTTACGCTGTCGCCTGTTCATAATGGAGGTCCAGATACAATAGAATTGTATCTTATCTTAATAATGCAAAGGAAGGGTGTATGATGTTAAAGTATTTAAATTATTTAAAGTATAGAATTACCTGGACACGATTGTGTGTTACAGGTTTGTGTTGTATAACTGTAGGACGAGCCAGAACATGAACGACCTCCTCCTGACGGACGTGGATTGGTACAGTATCGTTTCTTCGTAACACCCTGAGTGCCACCACCACATGTTTTAGAACAAGAACCATATGTTGTGGACCAACTCGAATAGGCACCATGTGCTGTTATGAAAGAAAACACACAAAACAATAAACACAGTTTTCTCACTAACTGTATGGAATACTAACCTCAAACCCAACCCACGTCAATGTAATAAACTGTGTACAACAGAAGTATGGACACCGTGTTTATTATATTTCAAGAAGCAATTTCCAATCTATTAAGTAATTTCCATTATCTAAAGTAATTAGTTATATGAATTAGTTATCCATTATACAAATAAGTTATCCATTATATAAATTAGTTATCGATTTTATAAATTGATTATTCATAATATAAAATGATTAGTCATTATATGAATTATTTACTCTTCAAAAAGATAAACGCACAGCCCATTTTCATCATTTTTTTTTATTTGAATGGGATCGTTGTTTCCATAAATCTTACTTGTTTTTAATGCCATTATGTAAGAATAAGGGAAATTCATTATTGGTTGTAACTGTACGGTCACTAATTGTGGCTGGTCATACTTTTTGCCCATATTTGTTTTCGCTTGATTGCACCAAGAAACATGGGTTTAACAACTTCGCAAGCTTTTCGCATGAAACCCAAATCTAAGGCCTTAAAATCCCGGGATTCTCGGTTTCAAAATCAGTTGCACGTGTAAACACTAAACGAGCTAAATGATACCACATCTGAACGAAGACAAACGCAACAATGCTATCGTTAAGTTGCAAGCAGGTGAATCCCAGACAGATGTCTGCTGAATGTTTCCCAGAGTACCATTTCTCGCCTTTGAGATAGGTACCGACAGCGAAGTTCAACACGTGACCGCCCAAGCGCAGGCCAAACAAGAGTGACCCCACCTGCCCTGGATCGTCATATCCTGATATTTGCGGAAACGGTTTACAACCGCTACCACTACTTTAGTAGCAATTCCTGGACCGTGTAGGATCTCCGACCAGACAGTCCATAAACGCCCGCGTAAAACCGGATTACGAGCCAGACGTCCCGTTAGAGCTGTTGTCTTGAAATACGCTGACTTCAGTGGGTTCAAACACACAACAGCTTGGTTTAGCGACGAGTCGCGGTTCCTGTTGCAGCGAGGCGATGGTAGAGCGAGGGTATACTGACAACGAAATGTCACTATGCGTTTCTTTTTTTGAAGAGTATTATATCCCTTACATTACATAAAGTAAATATCCTTTATATAAATTAATTATCCTTTATATAAATTAATTATCCTTTATATAAATTAATTATAAATTAATAAGGTATCCATTATATAAATTAGTTATCCATCATATAAAATAATTATCCATTATATAAAGTAAGTATCCATTATATAAAGTAAGTATCCATTATATAAAGTAAGTACTTCTAATACATGAAGCATGCATCCTTTACATAAAGTAATTATCCATTATATAAAGTAATTATTCATTATATAAAGTACTTATCCATTGTATAAGAAATATGTTTTCTTTATATATTAAGTAGGTATCGTTTATATAAAGTAATATCTATATTTAAGTATGTATCCTTAATATAAAGTCATTATATAAAGTAATGAACAATGGATGGAAGAATACAAATGATTACTTACTGCATGTTCTGTAGCACGTACCAGTACGATACCTGTTCATAAATTATATTATAAATTACATAAAACGTCCTTTTGAACTGTTACACATTCACATACAGATTTTATCATAATTTGTTGGATGAATCTCCCACGATTTCTTGCTCGTTGTTTTATTATATCTAAATGATTTACGTCATGCAGACACTCGGATTATAATTTTAATTATGATTCAATATGGTTTATCTTAATGGATATACCATAATTCCATAGCACGATCAATTGTATTGACAAACAGTAAAAATAAAAACATGCATGAGGGCAGAATTCATACCAACAAAACCTAAAAATTATGTAAATTAAAAATCTGCCCATTTTACGGAGAGAGAGATTACCTCCATTCGACAAATTTTGGGACTAACATATGACTGAGGTATTTCAATAATTCGCTTGGGCGTAGGACACTTTACCTGTAGTAGCAAACCTGAAGCACATTGGAAACTATGGGATCCCTGCTTGTGGCAATTTGCGGGTCGGGAGAAAGGCGCAGCTTGGGTCGCAAAGTGCAACCAGTGGATCCAAGTCAAGGGTGCTTCATTTATAACACCCGTTAACTCAAGGTAGTTTCTGAATATTGTTAAATGTCGATACTATACTTTACAGTTGGTCATAAAATTTCTCTATAGTCGTGAAACGAAATGTGGCTTAACATATTCCTTGTAGCTATATCTTTTTAATTTAAAATTTTTTCTCGCTTCCTTCAAAACGTATTTTTGAAGATGCATTATATTATCACACTAACACTATTTATGGAATAACAATCACTGGTTTATTAACATGCAACGTTTCGACGATGATACTCTCGTCTTTATCAACCAGTGATTGTTATTCCATAAATAGTGTTAGTGTGTTACTGTTCAATTACTAAATGCCACTCAAAGAAGCATATATTATGTAAAATGTAAATATAAAAGGGATAATTTAGACGGTATTCCTATTAAAGAAATTTATCAACACAGGCATTTAAGATTGACTTTTCAGAAAAACTACATAAAACTATATAAGAAAAAAATATATAAAACGATCTAACTATCAGTTATACGTGAAAGTCAAATTCCAATGTTAGAGAAAAAAATGCTAAAAATTATCAAACGAATCGCCAGGCCATTTTAATACGTTGAAACACAGCGGAAACTCTTACAGACAGTAGAAGGGGGGCCTCGAGGAGAATTCCTGCTGGTGGTGAATTACTGCAAGTGTTTATGGCCAACAAAGAGAGAGAGAGAGAGAGAGAGAGAATGTTTTACGTTTACTCGACACAACCTAGGCTATATCGGAACCAACACATGGTTCGACCCTTTTTCAATAATTCGCTAACGCGTAGGATTCTATAGCTGTGGGAGGATCCTGTGGGATAAAACCTGAGTATAAGATCGAGAAGATGCCTCTATCTCAAGGCCACATACCCTCACACCAGGGGTCGAAACCATGACCGCAAGCCAGAGGTGTCCGACCAGCTAGAACTCGAAGCGCGACACTCTGGACAACTAGGCTATCCCAACCCCCGGCGGCCACTCAACCACCTGAATGAGATGTTCAACCGTAACCTACCTGTATCTGGTACAACGACTCCAACCAAACCAACCACAGCTAGTACTGTATCTCTGACTCTTGGCACACGAATAACTACAACTATAACAAAAGGAAAGTAAATATTTTTAAATTTGTATACCCTCACCTTTTGTATCAAATTTCACACCATTTTATCTAGTTTGTGGTCTGGGTAATGTGCCCAGGGGCGTAAATGTGGGGTCGCCGATCGGTGGTCAAACTTGAATATGCACGGACGCTAATCTTTGCTAATTTATGTATATTCACCACAACAATATATCGAAGATATGGGTCCATGTAAATGATGTAATTATTATCACTTTCATAAGTTGTCACTGATTCGCAGTACTGTGTACGTTCTTGCAGAATGCTTAATAAATAACATGAATTCCCATACGTATACTCAATTTTACTCATGTTATAAGTGTTTTCTGACCATCAGAATTCTGTAAAATTCAAGAAATGGCATTACAGGAACTCTATATTCAAAATTTTCTCACTGGAGAACATGCCCCCAGACCATCTAGAGAGCTCACACCTGCGGTACTCGACTCGTGGCTGTGTCAATTGTATCAGTCGGTCTTATTTAGCTACCCCTTCCCCCACCCCCAACAAAATAGATAAATTGATATGTATGCCCCCTGAATGTGCTTGGCGGATAGTTCCTATACAATGTTTGGAGCAGGAACTTGTCTGTCATGTTCTTCTGGTTCTTGTTGGTGTTCTTGGTGGATGACACCATTCTTCGAAGAAAGCCACAGGCTCCACCAAGTCATATACGATTGACAAATTCTTGGTACTGCATTTCCAGTTTCCCATACCATTGTCCTGCATTCACATTGTATAATTGTTGTGTTGAGAGAGAGAGAGAGAGAGAGAGAGAGGAAGAGAGAGAGAGATGGTTTAAATTTCGGGACTAACATATGGTAAAATTTTATTTATTTAATTCGCTTGCGCGTAGAGGTCTTTAGCAGTGGCAGGAAACCGGAGGACCCGCGGAAAACCCACGCGGATGGACAGGCGACTCTACTCCTTGTCACGTACACGCGGGGGATCGAAACCACGCCACTTGACTCAATGACAGACCTTAGGATGCAACGCGTTAACCATTGGGCCACCCAACCTCCCTTTTATGTTGAAGGATAAAAATTGCTTGAGTCTTCGTTTGAAATCGGAGCTTGCCTGGTACTCTGATGGTATGTACAGAAGGACCGCACCACACCTAAAACAACAGCAACCAAGAAGATAAACTTTCGGAGAAGTTCCATAACACACGCATATTATAGGCTATAAACAATAAACGGGACTGTCAAATAAAGTTAATCGGTCCGAGGACCAATACTACAAATCATTTTATTTGTATTTATCGAAAACTGTATTTGTATTCACTTCACATTCATTATAATAATTTTCTTAAAACAAAATCTTTAACACTGTGTACACGGGACCTGGGTGTTATGTCCCATCCGAACGACTAAACGTTGCCCCTTGCCAGGCCATTGGTCCGGCACCACTGACAATGGGGGGGGGGTATAAACAAAGAGCATGTGGGAAAGACGTCTTCTGAATCGAAACGTTAGATACCGTCTGATTTGTAATTAGCATACATGAGAATTTGCGAAAATTATAGATTTAGAGAAATCACGAAATAGATATCGATGGATTTGTGGATTTAGTGTACGTGCGAAATTGCGATTCCTAGTATTACATTATTTGATCATCGATCTTACAAGCCTATAGCTGCTACAGGATTAACATGAAAGGGGGAAAGAATATTGATAGCAGGGACAAATTAACTTCTTTAGGGGCCATCTAGCCTACCATACTTACGGTCTCATCCTCAGTACAAACCCGTGTCAGGCTAGAGTGAAAAGTCAATTACGATTTATTATATTTTTGATGTCGTTTGTAATATATATATATAAAAAAAAAAAAAAAAAAAAATCATACGATTGTAGCGCTGTCTGTCTAAAAGTAGTTCGGTCACGAAGATAATTGATTGACATTTTAATTCGACATTTTAATTACTACTTTTAATTCGACACTTGTAGTATCATGGGTCGTCTGTCAGACGTGGAGAGCTGGCGATCCGAAACCGGTGGCCACCTCTGGCGTATGACCCATGCATTGTTTCTTACTACATATTCTGGAACAGCCCATGATCGTCTAGTATTGTCTCTGACCGCGTTTGTTTCTTGTTTTCTTCTTAGGACTCCACTTTAAATATTGTGTATTTATTCTGCCACTCCTCATTCAGTTTATGGTTACACACAGTAACAACAATACCACATTTTGCTTCTACATTTTATATTAAGCACTGCTACATATAGGTTACAAAGTTACAAGCATAATAAAGTCATTCTCTCATGCAGAATGGAAATTCCTACATCTTCTCCCTACGAGAACTACATGGCTGTCTACTCTAAAGCGCATATTCTATTAATTATATATTCTCAGATTCACACCCATTAATTATTCTATTGGCTAATTATGATGTAATTAATCATGTGATTGGTCACTCCGTGCCAAATATGAAATGGTAACTTTCCCATCACGTGCTTTTAGAATTTATCCTTGAAAAATGCAAATGACCAACATGATTGCTAAACTCTAACTGCGTTAATGTATCTAAACAACCAGCACACGTTCTCTATTTTTGGCTATGAACTTAGAATCAATAATTTGTAAAGATAATGATATTGTTTCGGCTCTCATATTTCGCTATCCTTTATCTTTATACCCCATGTCTTGTTATTGTCACAATATTTATAAACAATTTTAATTTGCGTTTCAGAATTAACTTATACCATAGCTAATATTTTGACAATGGAGAATAATTAATCAAAACCCTATAATTATTTTACATAGATGTTTCCAAGCACAAATTTTTTCCCTCCATTTTACTACACATTTCAGTCGAAGTATTTATTCTGCTTTCTTATAATAAAGTCGAAATTATTAATTTTAGGTATTCTGCACGTGTTTGAAAAAGTTAAATCGATTAGAACGGTATTACAAAATAGTATACTGGTTTTTGAAAATGCGATTCAACGCAGATACCTATTCTCAAAGTAGTTCTATGTATTCAGAATGGAACAAATCAACTGAAAAGGAAATGGTGAAACAATAATATGCTATTAATTAGACTGGTTTATATGATAAAGTAATACTTACACGTCAGCCGAGACGTCATATAGACAAGCTATAACAACTAACGCACTAATAACTAGTCTCATCTTGGTAAGTTTCGTATTCCAGTGTATGGTTCTCAACATAAGCAGAGCTAAAATATCCAGCTGCAGACACAAAGGCTCGTTTCATATTTTATAGGAAACATAACAATTTGTTTTAAATAATAAAAAAAATCTTGAAGCGATTACCGCGATAATGTTACACCCATACCCTTCTAAAATCGCCACTGGTAGGGTTTTTGAATTAATTTTATGTAAATATCGTTAAACAAATGTTTACATACATTGTAGTGATGGGCAAAAGACAAATAAATAATTTGCCGGATATGGTTAGATGTCATTGGCAAGTAGTAAAGATGAAGTATGTAAGAGTTAAAGTAGCTAAGTCCGTAACTCAATATCATCCAAAATCTTCGACATTGAAAACACGATTTTGTTTTGCAATTTAAATCAGCATTGGTGTTGTGATTTTACCTGGAAAAGATGGGCTTCTGATATCCAATATTTAAGTCAAAATAAACGAATCGTGTACCATAATGCGTTTCAGCGCCATTTGTAACAAGGTGCTCAATGAATGAGGCTAGACATATTCCACAAGTCATGTCAAACGGTGATATCATGTTCTTATTTGGAGAGCATGCGGAATAAATAATATCGGTGTTGACTGGAATAGCCAGACGCTAGAAACTGACTTGCGGTTGAGACTTCTGTCGTATTTCGCGGAACATAACTGATGACAATTCACAGTAAAACGGACACGATTGAATGTAAAACAGTTTATATAAATTCATATTACATTATTATATGTGTTGCGACCCATTTATGCCAATTTCTAGGTCCAAAATATTAGTGATTTAGCTCCTTTAAATCTTCCTATTGCAGGTCTTTTGCCTGGCTTTAAATGTATATAAATTATTGTTTTGCCATTTATTTATATAACAAGCCCATAATTAACTCTGTAGGTCATCGGATGGCTTAGCTATTAAGTGGATTATAATATATTCGTTAAATGTTAAAATAGAAAATCGAGCCTATTTACGCTATTTCTCGTAAAAACTTCAAACATTCATAACTTCGCTCAGTAATTTTCGCAATATTCATTTATTATTATCTATAATTAAACTGTTATAGTAAGAACAACCAGCTCGTTATCCATATCTTACATAATGTATCTTTAAACCTTGTATAATAAATTAGCATCTGAATGCACCAGGATGTATGTTTGTTATCGTTATCAGGGGATACGAATACATAATTTATATATCCACCAACAAAATATATGCATATTTATAAAATAGCTTGCAATATGATAATGCAACTCTTAAGAAATTTAAGCGACGTCTCCATCAGGGGCTTGGAATAAGTGGCTACATCCGTTCGCCAGCAACAATAAATTTTTCTAATACACCTGTTACCGTGTGATTCCATGAAAAAAAATGAATAAATAATAAAAAAAATATTAAAAGAAAACAAAAATGAGAGGCGGTTTTAACGTCCAGTTGTCTGATTGTGACAGGCAAAGGATAAATTTCCCGCCAGATCAGGTATAACAAGCATAAAGGTTACACTATTCACCCGGGGTCTTATTCAGAAGAACTTAAACTAAATATTTTAACGATGCGGAATGTTCATTGGATAAGGGTTAAAAATCTAAATGAAAATTGTACCTCAAAGCCGATGAAAATGCTGCATTCTGAAAATGTTTTAGTTTAAAGTGGACATAAGATGGGTGAAAAAAACTTTTCGGTACGTATATTCAATGGTTACTATATCCACTTTACGGCCGGCAGGGTCACACCAATCTGATTAAAATTAATTCGGCTATTAATCCCGCCACGCCAAAAGGCTTTTCAATTTGTCAATTACGATCTTAATCCAATTGATTGGCTGGTGACGTCACAGGGACTACACATAGTATATACATTATCTGTACAATATATCACTGTCTGTACAATATATCACTGTCTACACACACCACCAGTTGACAAGTGTCTATTGACGATCCACTTAACATGTGACTGGCCTAACCATAATCACCGAATTATCGTCTTGCATTGTTATAGATTAGACATTTGTGATTGGAATATTTTAGAGTGAATTTAAAATGCCGTATTATGCCGTAGATCCATTTAAGCGTCCATTGTTTGAATAGGCCACGTGACAAATGAAGACGAACCAAGCAATTAGCGCATTTACCGATAATTTGGATAACCCCGTAATACTTACGGTCTGAGAAGAAATTTTTCAAAAAAGTCCAATATATTGTGGAACTCTTGTGGTGAAAAACACCACAGACCCAAAACACTCTATCAAAATTATTCTAAGTCGAAAATTTTGTGGAATGTGGTACCACACAGGCACAGAGGGGTGTCTGAGAAGAAATTTTTGAAAAAATTTATATTTTTCCTAAGTCCAAAATCTTGTGGAACTCTTGTGGTGAAAAACACCACAGACCCAAAACACTCTATCAAAATTATTCTAAGTCGAAAATTTTGTGGAATGTAGTACCACACACGCCCAGAGGCGTGTCTGAGAAGAAATTTTTGAAAAAATTGATATTTTTTCTAAGTCCAATATCTTGTGGAACTCTTGTGGTGAAAAACACCACAGACTCAAAACACTCTATCAAAATTATTCTAAGTCGAAAATTTTGTGGGATGTAGTACCACACAGGCCCAGAGAGGTGTCTGAGAAGAAATTTTTGAAAAAATTGATATTTTTTTTAGGTCCAAAATCTTGTGGAACTCTTGTGGTGAAAAACATAGGGGGGTATGAGAAGAAATCTTGTGGAATGTGGTACCGCACAGGCACATAGGGAGGTATGAGAAGAAATTTGAAAAAATTGATATTATTTCTAAGTCCAATATCTTGTGGAACTCTTGTGGTGAAAAACACCACAGACCAAAAACACTCTATGAATATTATTTTAAGTCGAAAGTCTTGGGGAACGCTGAGAATCTTATTATCATGTACGGTTTCGTGTATACTACGGGCGTAGTAACCGAGGTTAAATTTTGGCGCGAAAATTGCATGGGATTCATGGACATGAATATGAAATACACGTGATCATCGTGGAGTTCCTGATGCCGTTTGGTGAGTTATTAAACTGTCAATGTAATTGTAAAATAACTTTTTTTAAAAAGAAGTTAAACGATAGTAGACATTATAAACTAATCTTAACACAAACGTTTATCCATCGAATAATTTATATTCAGATTTCATATCAATTAAATGTTGTCTAAACGCCAATCAACAAATAATACGAGGCTATTACAAAAACATCGGTGAACAAAGCTAATTGATTATTGGGTAAAAAATAATTATAAACAACTGATGAGTAAAACGTTCGGTCACAGAGCAAATGATCTTTTAAAAGACCTAAGATTAGACCACTATCAGATTATTGACAGGGTATTTTCGTATCAAGCCCCATCTACTTTTTTTAAATCCAAACTTTGACATAAGCCTAGGTAACGTTGTTAAGAAAAAAGAAAATCCACAACAAGCTCTATTGCTATCGAGGGAATTCTTGAACGAAAAATGGTGATCGCATGTGAAAATATACATGGACGAGTCTCACGATCCAAACACTACCAAAACTGCATTAGGTGTGGTCATTCCCGAATTTAATATTAATATATCGAAAAGGCTATCAGATGGATGCTCTATATATACAGCAGAACTAAAGGCAATATCCACAGCCCTCGAATGGATCGTGTCATCCACCGTTCAAAGAAAAGTCATTGTGTCAGACTCCCTTAGCAGCATAAAGTCAATAATACATGACAAAAAAACACCTCGACCAGAAATTGTTCAGAATATTCGAGCAAGTGTTTATTCCCTCCGAAACAAAAATAAAACCGTAGAATTTACATGGATACCATACCATGTAAAGGACTCAGCCTTTGCGAGACCGAATACTTAAAATATAGCGTTAGGAATTTAATAGCATCGTCAAAACTAAAATTAAATCACAATGGAAAATTGAGTTGGACATAGCAAATACTTTTAGATTCAATTTAAACAACGATCTGGTTGTAAAGACGAAGATTAATCACCCATCGCGCAAAAATTGTGGGTTAATCACAAGATTAAGAACTAAGGATTTAATTACCGACCATAAATTTAACTCAGTCAAGTGCGAATGTAGCCACAATTTGACCGTTAATCATGTTATCATTACGTGCAGTAAATTGGAAAAGAAAAGAAGTTTAATGGAAAATGCCAAACTTCAATATACCCTCTAAAATGTACTCTTCCCCCCTCGGAATATGTCATATACAATTTATGAAGCTAACTCAAAATTCAAAGCAGAATCGGGAATTAACTGTTAAATTAGTTGCGTTAAAATAGCACTAGTCAAAGAAAGATAACTGGTTGTGTAGACCAGGTTGACCCCTAAGCCACCTGGATGCTTTTATAAGATAGGGAACTACATATCTAGTTACAAAAAAGGAACTATTGTTGTAGGACAGTATGGCGGTTCAGTCTACTGCATGATTTAATATAATAATATACTAGGGAAAAATAATGACAAAATAAAGGAATAGGGACCTACACAACCATTATTAACAATGACAGTGCACATCAATCAATTTAATTTAACCTGTGTTTAAAAATGTATTTATTCCTATAAATGGTTCAATTTGTTTTATTGTTTATTTTGTGTGTGTGTGTGTTGCTGCTGGCTCTTTTTTTCTTTTCAGATAACTTTTATCTGTGGTAAGCCGTACGCAAGAAAAAGTCTAATGGAATGCACTTCGCATTTCCACATAAAGCCAACGGATTCTTTTTCCCAACCTTTCTTTTTCTATCCGCTCTGATGACGCCAAACATCAGTCAGCTGGGCCTCCTGTTTTAACTTTATTATGACAAAGGGAGAAGATGACCCGCCCTCTCTTCTCACGACAGCGAATTTATTTATGTCCGAGGACTTTTTTATTTTGTGTTTTTAATAACTTTCAAGTGTAAATAATTTAATTAAATCAACCTGTCAATAATATCATATTTATTGTATTGGACGTTAAATCTGTAATAAACAACAATAGAGAGAGAGAGAGAGAGAGAGAGAGAGAGATGGGGTTTAATGTCCACTCGACACAAACTAGGTCATTTCGGGACTAACATATGGTTTAATTTTATTTCAATAATTCGCTTGCGCGTAGGGGTTTTTAGCAGTGGGAGGAAACCGGAG